ATGTTAAATGCAATGCACGTGACTGGTACACTAGAGTGGCCACCAATTACAACAGACTGTTAGAGTTGCGTAAGCTCAGCATGAGTAGTGCAAATACCTTGGCTTAATATTAACAGGCCTATTCGAATTAATATAACGGGCCTGCAGTTTTACAATGAAACAGGCTCATATTCAGGACTTCTAGTTCTTAACCTTTATATGCAGTATTCAGATATTGAGAACGTGAACTACAATCAATTCCAAATGTCTCAACAGTATCGAAAACAGTCTGCTCCAGTCTTAATTATACAGTCCAGATTTATACACATACAAATCGATTCTAAACTATGCTGTACAATTAAATTTACCGCCTATTTAACTATCAACACCCCACAGTCCAGGCAGCATATTTCAGGATCAAATAGGTGAGTAATTGTGTTCCATTTCAATATCAAAGTTACAGCAGAGTAGATTCAAGCGTGTACCTGGAAGTCAGTGATCAATAAGAAGAAGAAAAGGTCAACAGCAGTAACAGTTCTCAGCAGCAACCCAGGAATAAGTTCAAAATTCAGTAATAAATCAGTTGACACAGCAAATTCAGGAACAGATTTGAAACTCCAGCGATAGATCAAACACAACAACAATTTCTATCACTGAAGCAACCCAAAACCAGCTCGAATACCCAGAAATGAACACAGGAAAGCAAAACACTCAAACTAAGATCATAGTTGACTCGAATCTCCCAAATCCACTGCCTAGATGACTCAAACTGTCTTCAATCCTCAAATATTGAACAAAACACAAGGAAATTCAAGTAGCTTTCATCCTATATGAGCTAGAGAATTGAATTCAATGATCGAATCTGAAAATGACCTAAGTAACACTAATGTAACAGTAATTTTTGGGATTTTTCTATTAGATTTCTATTGTTTTTGGATTTTTGAAGGTTTGAATTTCAAATCAGATCTGAAATTGGAGAGGAAGTTTTGGGAAGAAATTTTGGAGCTGAAAACCTTTTGTAGAAGGCAAATGAATGCCTATTTATAGGCAAACTTAGGTTCCAATTTCAGATTTTCACTTTACCCATTAGTCCCTATCTTAATTCGATTTTCTACCCTTTGTTTCTTGACTTGTTACACAAGTAACTACCCTAAGTTTAATGAAATCTGCACTATAGTCCATCCTAGAAGGTTCTATACCCATTACAATTCCTATTCTACCCTTACTTTACTTCAACAATTACCAA